GAATACTGGCAAGATGCCAAATTAAAATTATTTGTAAGTTTGTGCACCAGACTTCCAATTACAAGGACAATATATATCTTACTGGAGAACAGAAGCAGTAGCATGTGACCCGCAAAATCCATCAAAACAACTCAGTTTCTGACTATTAAGTGTAATAAACTGCTTATGAATAAAGCATACATAAAAATTCCTCACAGAAATTTGGTACGTAATCTTCAATTGTAAGGAAGATGAAGAAAATATTTAATTGTCTACAGATAACTATAAAGAAATAATGCTGTAATTCAATGGGTAAATCATATATTGGTAACAATTTTGCTAGTGTGGACAGAAACAGGTCAAACCGGAGAAGTCCACCTCGGAAGGACTAGAAAGAAGAAAGACTTTCATCTTGGAATATTGCTTTAGTTCAGCCACACTTCCATGGTAAAGCACTGATTCATCACTCCTTTTTAAATATTTCAGACCATGTTAGCCAGGTGAAAAGGGGGATGGATATCACATCTTCCAATTAGAGTAACTCTCACCACATTTATTCAACAAAGACATTTTGAACAACTGTCAAGAATGTCTTATGAACTATTTGGCCACACTGCATGGTATTGATCTCTGTTTCCAGTGTCTCTGCAAATGGATGGCGTTTCCCTCTAACCAAGACCGATGAGAAAATTGGGGGTTTTGAATTCTTCTGACTTAGAAGCATTAAACTGGATAGAAAAAAAAAAAAAAAAAAAAAAAAAAAAAATTGTTCTCTGCTATCCCAAAGGCTTTCTTCAAAGAGGGATCCATATCACTAGTAAAATGTCCTTCAAAGGGCACTGTCAAAATATCTACAATAATTTTAAAACTCATTTGTTACTCCTTGTTGTTTAAAATCCCTTTGAAGCAAGAAGCTAAAATCTATTTCCGTTAGTACTACCTCTCCTCCACCAGGCACAACATGCCAAGGAAAATGCTTTTCCAACATAGCATGTACTCACAGAGCATGAAGCTAAACTTTTTAGATTCGCTATATAACCAAGACATATGGAACTCAGCTGTATACCAGGGCACAAAAGATATTAACTTGTAGGATGATAGATACAGTAATGAATGGAACAGCACAGTGCAATACCCTAAAGAAGTGTGTTAATTAGCAGGCTAGAGGTAACAAGGAATCAAGAAAAATTGTGATAGTGTAACATGATAGAATGTGGTAACAGCAAAGGCATATGGAAGTTTAAATATTAATCATGCAAGAAACTTGGGAAAGTATCAATATGTGTTACTGAACATTTGTTTCTTTCGGGGTCATGATTGTATCTGACTGTACCTGTATTCAGCAGAACTTATTACAGTACAGCCTTGTTCAGTCTTTTGAAAACAAAAGATGAGAAGGGGCTCTACAAGCCACAAAAGAGAGTCAGCAATAAAAATCACATGGTAAGCTGGAGGGATAAAAGCTCCAACAAGGGAACAACACAGACTGCATTCACATAAGCAAAGAAATATTATGCATGTCTGGGGTTTTTTTTATTGTTTTCTGTTTTGACCATAGGGTTGTAAACTGGCAGGAGGGAGAATTCCCTGCAGAAATGTGTTGCTAGGCTTTTAGCAACTTTTAAATGGAGACACTGCTCCTCTAAAACTAAATTGGGCCATCCAGACAAAATGATAAAGAGTTTGGATATTTTTTCCCCTTCTTTTCTTCTTACTTGAAGAAAAACCCAGGTAAGATCAATAGTTTCTTTAGTTTATGCTTTGCTTCATTAAGGGTAGTTGGCTAATTTTGTTTCCACTGATCACACAGACAGGAAGATTCAAGAGACAAACCACCTCTTATTTCTGCCCTCTTCCCCATTTGAAATTAAATCATTTTTAAACGAGGCTGGGGTCACTATTCTTCCTCATTTACATATCAATAGTACCAAATCCTACCTTATCTTTCAGTCACTAAACTATTTTAAAAATGAAATCTACATTTCAAACCAAGAGAGAACACACATATTCATTGGAAAAACTCTCAACGCATCTTTTCTGAACTCTTTATCAGAAAAAACTAGGTTCTGGTTTACCTCAGCCCTTCCTCGTCATGTGGCAAGAGGGGACACACCTACCAGCCTTGTTCAATTAATATTTTAAACTCTTGCAGCCTCTATAAGGCTTTCTTGTTCTTCCTAAATCCTTTGCACAATCCCTACCAGATATCTCTGTGCAATTCCAAGCACTGTATCTGTGCTTACAGCCAGCAAAGCAGCTACTTGAATGAATTACTTTCATCAGTTACAAGCAGGAAGAAAGCTAAAGCCCAGGATCCAGGTCTGCTGCGCTCTATTAGAACTTTGACCACTGATTCACTGAATGATGCTGGACTTGGGAGCCTCTGCTGAATATAATGAGATGTTTTAAATCCTAGCAGCTGTTTGTACTGTACTTCAAGGTATAAAAGTATCAAAAACATAAAGGCATGCTTGTCTGGGAGAGATTCTGGATATATCCCTACAGGGAGATCAATCCTGTGCAATTAAGAAACTGCTTCTATTCACAGTTAAACACAAATCTACTAATCCAAACATCAGAAAGCTCTAAATATAGGATGCTGACATCTTCTGACTGAACATTAGTCTCAGTCTATTGTTTACACACACATCAACTTGAGAGTCCAAGAGTGAAGAACTCAGGTTGAAGTCTCTAGAAAAACATGACCTCTTATGTGATTAATTTCCAGTTTACAGGAATAAATTCAGGGCTTCCAGATACTAATGAAGTAGTGTTGGCTTGATAAATGGAATCTGAGTATTAAATGGTATTACGCAATGAAATCTTCAGGTCAGCCTGTCAAGTCCATACCTAAAATAATTCACTTTTAAGAACAAGCAAACAAGCAAGCAAAAACCGAGAAGCAAGCAAGACTACTAAAAGAAAGAGGAAATAGCCTATTAATATAAATCATTTGAAAGCGATAGTTTATTATTTTATATGCAGTTCCAACATAAATGTCAACATAAGAAATTATATTCTGTGTTGATATTAACAAGTTGGGTACTTAGTGTACTTGGAAAAAATGAGTGGAAATAGTTTAAAGCTGCCTGAATCAGAGAAACTGCAAAAAGTGTTTGTATTAACTTTATGATGAAGAAATGCCCCCTCCAGGGAATATTTATGTATCCTCCATCTTTGAGATGAATAATAATCCTAAACAAAGAAAAAAAAAATATATATGTGACCTCATAAAAATAACCCAATAATCCAACTGGGACTCAGCTTTTCAGGGTGTTCAGAATGGAAATTGCAGAACTGCTTTACAGATTACAGACTTCCTTATGGGCCAGGAGAATACTGGATTCCGTTACCAGTCACAACCCCTCATATGTCAACTTGCTCTTATCCTCAGTGGCTGTCTATAGTCCCGATCAGTGATGAAAAAGAGGACAAGAAAGAATGGAGAAAATAATTTGACACATTTTAAAGGATTCCTTTAAAAAAAGAATCCTGAACCATCTGTGTTAGGTATTTCTGCTTATTTTTGTTATCTCTATTACATAATGCAGGGTCCCCGTGGGTGGCACAGTGCTTAAATGTAACATCTGAATGTGGCATTTAAAGTTCTATTCTTACTATTTCAAGCACCTAATGGCACGAATTAAGCAAATTTGAGTTAAAGACATCACAGATGCTGAAGAACAAATCATTAGATATTGATACAATCTGATGCATCACTGCTTTTAAGTCTTACTGCGGTTATCTAGGAAATCAGTGAAATCCTCCTCTATGGAGATCACTAGGAGTTATGTCACTGACTTCAGTTGAGGTAGATTTTTCCCCATTGTCTAAAAAAGATTCAAAACCTGTGTCTTGACCTGTGGTGCCTATTAAAAAAACATTATCTCTTCTCAGGAGTAGGGAGTGTTAGGTGTAATGCCCAGGGCAATAAAATTCTCATTCTTTAAACTGCTGTTTTTTTCTTCTGCCTTTCCTGTCTTGGAATTGATGTGTGTATAGTAGAGCGTGGCTAAAACAGCAGCTGAGTACTTCCTGGCTACATTCTACAGAGAGGTAAAAGAATTGACATAGAGCTTCCAAAGATAATAATTTGAATGTCTTATTAATTGTTATTTGTAATAATGGCTCTTTCCTTAAGGGTCTTTCAGAATCCTTAACTGCTTATTAATGCTGCATAGATAAGGATTGCTCCCTAGTGGGAGAAATGAAGTGGAATATGGAAGCCTTTCAATGAAAGAAACAGGTCTGGGAAAGGAACAAGAAAAAGAATTCACCATTTGAATGAATGGAGAAATATGGTCGCTCAAATGCAATTACCAGATTTCATCCTCTGTTCTTAAAAAGTGCCAGGAGATCTCACAGACCGATGTCTCTGATGCATTCTGTGTGATTAAATCCCTTCCTATCAAGACTGGAACCTCCTTTGGTGTGGAATTCAGGCCTGTCTAGATCACAGTCACAGGCATACCTTGAGCTCATGGACAGCTGTCAGAAGTAGCCTTAGATTAGCTACCTTTGGCTGTCAGTAACAGGCAACTCCAGATGCAGAATTCTCAGTACAGGCTCTTAAATTTAGCCAGGTCAATGCTCAAGGAGTTAGACTGTACCAAAAAGCTCGGTGCCACTAGTATTCAAGTTAATTACCTTAGAACTAGGCTCAAAGATGCTCATATGAACTACCAACATATTTTTTACAACTCTATGAATGATCTTATAAGGATACATGCCCTGTATCATCTCAAAATCACTACTTCCTGCAGCTCAATCCTTTTGGCTCCAGCCTGAAGTTTCTTTTTATTTCACTGTTGAATGAAACATCAGAGCATGGACAGTAAAAGAGTGAGAGATCATGGAAAGATTTCACTGAGATGAAACTCAGAAGCATGGCAACGAGGGTCTGGAGAGAGCAGACAATGCTAACCATCAAGACAATAAGTATCTCCTCTGCTTTACCCTTCCATGCTCGAGACGTGCATTGGGTGGAGGGTGGTACAAGGTTCTTTGAAAGATTTGCTTACTTTATAGAGTCCATGGCTGCAGCCGCAGTACGTGCTCTCCATGGTGTAGCTCCTCAACACACCCATTTCCTTCCATACCACCACCCGAGCTGTCGACTCCCGGGACTTCTCCACCAGGAAGCTGCAGCTGTTCATGACAAATGCAGGGGCCACTTTATCCAGGATTTTAGGAAGAGTCTATGAGAAAATATCAGCAGTGATGAGAAAATGAATTGAACAGATGCACATGTGTTTATATCATACACACATACACAGAGACACCTGTGTTTTATAATGTGTATATAATCAAATCTATCTGTAGGCACTGTTACTGAGATCTCCAACCAGTGCATTATGTCCATCCCATGTGAAATCCTCAGATTCTAACAACTGTTTCATCCAAAAGACTAAAATGCAAAATACCAAGTACACTTGGTGTATCCCACTCAAAATCAAACATTTTCACACCCAGTAATTTGGGACTGCTGCAGTCACAGAGTTTTGTTTTCAAGCTGCTTCAACATTAACCTACACCTCCCTGTTGTGCTGAGATGACTGCAGTCACAGTTCAGTACCTGATATTCCCATTCTCCCCTCTCCAGCTATATCTCCTCCCATCATGCATCCACAATTTGACAAGGGATTCAGCTATGGGAGGAGTTTTGTCTGAAGCTAGCACTGAGCAGAGAAAGGGGATGTGTATTCTCATGGAAGGTCGCACATAATTATATGAAAATAGACCTCAACATGTAACTAACTTTCATTGTGAAACAAACCCAAACATTTGCATCTGAGTCCAAACAATATATTTTATACGCTTCATTTAGAGAATCACAATAAAAAGTAATCATGAAGATCCAGCAAAAATTACATCTTAGCCCTGAGTGATTTTCTTATTCTAGAAATCATATTTCCTGTCAAAGTATATAAACAGTCCTAATACACTGCAGTATCAAATATTTCCATCAGTACAGAGGCAACACTTAGTCATTACACAGTGATAAATGTGTTACTTCTACACTCTGTAAAAATATATACTAGATGCATCAACACTAGGTGTGCTCTATGTAGAAACTGGACCTTTCAGTACACACTAAATTTTGTCTAAATTTTGGTGCTGGTATATTAACCATAACATAGGCCAAAAGCTCATTTGATCCATCTAGAGAAGAGCAAGTAAAATGAGGACTTTCATTATTTCTTTGACTACAGCTTTCTTAAACATCTGAACTGAATGGAATCATATAAAAGGAGTTTCCACTTACTGCTAATGGTATTTACTCTTGAATTTCATTCAGTTTGGGCGGAGAAAGCCAAGCAGATAATTTTACTTCCCAATAACAATCAGTTTCACTGACCGATTCTGAGTAATTGTAGTTCCATGCTGTTGAGCTTTACTTCATAGCACTGTTCAGGAATACTTGGTTTCATTGAAAGTGAAAGAATAATGTCTTCTCTTAAAACATGTTTGATGTGAATGATAAATCTTTGGCCTAAACTATTTTGCAATATCTTCTGTAAACAGCTTAACCATACATATCTCCATAACAAAAAAAAGTAAATTTAACTTTTCAGTATATTCTGGCTACAGCTGTCAATAGACTTTACCAGTTCTATAAGGTATAGACCTTAAGTTCTATTAAGGTTCATTTTTTCAGATTAAAAAAATGAGGGGGAGAAAACAGGAACAAAGCAAGAGATTCCATTTTAAATCAGAGACGCACTCTTAAGTCAAGATCTCCAGCATGCCACTAAGGGCTACAGCACTCCCTTTCCTGTGGGAGTAGTGAACTGAGGAATCTTCAAAATTGACTGTTTGCCCTAAATGACACAGCCAGCATTTCTGGGTTCCCTTCAATGTGTGACTTGCTGCATGGGGATCACAAAATAGTATACTTTTCATGCAGTGCTTTCAGGTTTTCCTTGTTTTGGGTTGAACAGGAATTAAAAAAATGCAAAAAGCCATATCATCCAGATGTTTATAAGCCTCAGCACAATCATGACACCCAGTTAAACTGCATTTGAAGGTTCAGATTAGTTTTTCTTTCGCCCTTATCTGAACAAATACACATTTTTTTTGTAAATACGTACTATCAAATACAATAATCAGATCCCTAATCCAGTTTAGCATTTTAAAACAATTGAAATTATATGCATAATCAATCTTTTATATTTAATTAAATAAAAATGGTGGCAGGTAATAGTAATGCCTCTGTACGCAGAAGTCATTTAGGGACATTAGCAAATCTTAATGTAATATTCTTTTCATTTTACCAGCGTTCACTAGATTTCACAATAATAGTTCTTTCTTCTCTACTTATTCTTCTCATTAATTATCTTTCAATAGTACATTATGAAAGAGTGAAAACACACCCTTTAAAGGATACTTTCATGACAGTGCAACAGTGTGACTGTGTTCCCTCTCACTCACAGCTGGATTTAGGAAGTACAACAGCAAAAGAAGCTACTTCCCTCACACAGGACCCTGTCCATAAACCTCCAATCCCGTTAGGAGAGAATGGAATTATATTACTTTACTGATGTCCCTGCAGAGATTGCTGTCAAAGGGGCCTGGAATGGCTATCAAAAGGACAAATCTTCAAGCTGGGCTTTGCAATGACAATGCTGTGCAAGTCACCCAAGGCCTACAAATATTAGAAGGTAATGAAGATTCTTACTCCTGTATATTGCCAAGGGCTACAGCTGAGTCTATGACCCATGAGGCAAAGGCTGTTCCAAAAAATAACATTTTCTTGAGGTATTTGTTTCCTGCTCCTGGGGAGAAAAATCAATCACAGAGGCTGGATTAATCTCCAACTACCTACAGGAGGCAGGAGAGAAACCTGTGCAAACAGTGCAAGGAAGCAGGTCTGAGACAGGGTGATTATCTGCTGCAGCTTGCAACTGCAGATGTGCAGATGTCCTACATACCTAGTTTCCCCAGCCTAAGAAGGAAGAGGGTGACCCATAAGCAGGAACAGCAGCAGGCACCCATCTCCTGTTTTGTGCAAAAGAGAAGATTTGAACCACAAAAGTCTTTCTTATAGGCCACTGTAGAGTATTCTCGGACAGTCTGTTCATTGCAGATTCAAGGCAGGCTCCAGATGCTGACAACAGCATTTGAATTCTGTTTGTGTAACAGTGAACTGTCCTCAGACTTTTCAAGCCCTCTGAATTCAAACACAGCAAAAGATGTCCTGACTGTAAGTACCCTCCCTGCTTTCTTAGTGAAACAGCGTGTTTGCCACAGGGACCCCTCTCACAACGAATGCTGGAGCACTTTCTTCCAGTAATTTTGGTATGCTGTGTACAATGCCATAAGATGAACATGAAAGATGCAGCACCCTTATGGGAGGATAATTAGTAGTTGTGCTGAAGTAGTGAAAATTATACAGAGATGTAAACTGAGACTTTTCAATCTTTTTCAGGTTGCAGTGAACCCAGCTATACCTTTATAATCTGTTCAAGGCCACAATGACTGTTTTGTGAAATTCACATTTTTGAGACTATAATTAGAGCTCATAAGATTCCTTTTGTCCATATAAATTTGTCATATAAGAGAAAAATGTCATCCAAACAGATGCACACACACACACACAAAAAAAAAAAAAAAAAAGAGATGGAGGGGAAATGCAGAGAAAAGTTTGATGAATGAGACATTCACATGAAGTAGAAATAAAACAGATTTTAGTATTTCTCCTTTCTAATTCCAGAAAAATTTCCCTAGCTATGACACCAAGTACTTGCTGTGGAGGTAACTCCATTACATTAGATCTGTTTGACAACCATTGAATTCTCTGGTGTTTTCAGTGGGACCAGAAGCTTTTTTGTGATGAAACAATTGAACTGAGTAGGACAGTGGCACACTGTCATTTTCTCAGCTACCATTACGTAATTCCTATTTATTTTCTTATTATGGTGGAGTGAGGGGACAAAACTGTATGTGTATTTAGAAATTATAAAACACACAAAAATATAGCTGTCCTATTAGTCTGTAGACAAAGATTATAACACAGCATCTTACTAAAGTGAAAAAAAATAGGGACCCATCTACTGACAATATTCTTGCTAATACGTGGTGCATGAAGATACTATGCATGATTTGAAACTCTCTGAACCATTACTCCTCTGGAGTAAGGGAAGCTTACACCTACCTCCAAAGTTTGTGAGCTGGCCTTTTCTTAGCTAGCTGCATAGCTGCACATATATGCCAGTAATTGCAGAAAGGAATAAAGTGGACCTACCCTGTAGCCAACATCTTCGGTGATAACTGCTGTGTCAACGATGCAGCCTGCTTGCCACAAGGTCTCCTTGATGCTGCAGCCATAAAGAAACACGTTCTTTTTCTGAGAGTGTCCGTGGTAGTCACAGAATACCTGGGGGGGGGGGGTGGGGTGGGGGGGTGTCAGGGGGAAAGGCAAAAATCTTAAACACTGAAAAAGAAAAGGTTCCCTCATTCTTAATCATAATAATCACTATAAGACTATAGGTGGGGTATATGTTTTTTTTTTTTTTCAAGTCTCTTCAGAGTAGCTTAGACTCTGAGCCATGCCCATAACCTGTGTCAAACTTTGTTAGTCAGTTGTATCTTGCTTTATTTATTTGATCTGACATGATCTCAGGGATCCAGAGTCAAGACTAGTGCATTTTTCTCTGCAGCTGAAATAAACGTGACATCTGTACAAGAATCCATGGTAACTCAGGAACCTAAGGGTTCATGGTAACTTATGATACAACAACAGAGCAATTTGTCAGGTTCTTTGTACTCCTAAACTCCAGCTTTATCCTCATGAGATTTTAAATCTATGCTTTCCCAAGCAATTAATCATCACTTTGTCATCTTTAAATTCAAAATGTGTGCTACACAATTTTCAGAAAACTGTAATTGTGCAACTGTATTGCACAATGCTGTCAGATCTTTGCATGAATTCCGGGGAGCCAAGCACAGAACATGACCTATCTTCATGGCAAATAATCTCATTCCACACTAATCTATCTGTCTATCTAATCCATCTCTCATGTCAGCTGTCAGATAAGCTAGGCACAAGGCACATTCCCAGTTTTAGCAGAAGTTTTGATTATCTTTATAGGCAGATATAGAAATGAAAATCATGATTTAATGACCCGAGGTAAATATTGACCCAAGTCTTAAAGAATAATCAATCTCAGTGCCCTCTGAGATATGAAGTCGATATACACACTGCTGTTACATATATTCTCCATGTCTTTAACAGGAATATTCAGAAATCTGTCAATGAAAAGACAAGAATTTCTAAAGAGAAGGAATTGGTTCATTTTAAACCAATATTCACCACTGAGTATAAAGGAGCTTCAAGATTTAATTGAAACAGTTTTCCATGGCTTATGTTGGAGACAAAAGAATGGGTGTAGGATGGTAGGGAAGAATTATGGATCAATATAAAGAGAGATGAGGGAGAAATATGGGGTAAAAAAATATACATATTCTTACATAAATACATATGCAAGAAGGGAGAAACAGATGGAGTAGATGAGCTTCTTCCACCAACTGTTAGGGCAAGATCTAGCCTAGTATGTTTATTTACCAGCTATACAGTAATTAAGTTTAGCTTCAGCAAGTCAGGAAGTTTAATTAGCTAGGAATCGAGCATGTACATACTTTCAGCTCCTCTGACAAAGAGTAGGTTGATGTACAGGAGAGACTAAGGCACAAGTGCATAAAGAACCATCTCACTGCTCTTAATTAGGTGGGCAATTATACATGTCTCGTAGCCTATATGCTGCTACTCTTGGTTTCTGACCTGTCAGTTCTCCTTCCTGCACCACCACTCAACTCCAGCTCTCTTTGTAGGGCCCTGAGTCTGCACATCCCCACCCCTGCAGCACACACTTGCCTCACCTGAAGCATGTGAACAGCAACCTACCCAGCAGCAACTGCTCCGACTTTACTTACACCTTTGCTACCCGGCAAAGGCAGAAAGGGGAGGACAAACAGGGCAGTCTGAGAGCTGCTCATTGGTGCAAACATACAACCAGCATAATTTCCAAAGGGAAAAAGTCAGTATTGTACAGACCTCAGTGACTCAGCTCCCTCAGGCTCTGTGCATATTTTGCAGGATTTGTGCAGCCCCTGCACTTGATGTAACTGTCTGAACCACGTGCAATTATCCTGTAATGTCTCATTCTGAAGAGTTGCGTTTATTGTTTCTCTTAATGACAGGCATTTTTCCAGTTAATGTTTCATCTAAGCTATCAACAATACACAACTATAGCTTAGGTTAACCACAGGTACCACCCTAGAATTTATTCCTATGAATATCAAAGAGGATTTTATAGCTTTCATTTTATTTCAAGGCAGAGAACCCAGCTCAATTGGGTATCAATTACCTGCCAATTCACAGAATTACCAGCACACAAAAGACACAATACATTATTTGTCTAAATTATTATTTTACTTATCAGAAACCACACAGGGATGAGCAGATACTGGGGCTGCCTGATCAGCAGGTCTATGATTCCGCACCTCAAGAAACTTGCAGATGAGTCTACAGTGATAGATCTGGAATGAGACTTCTTCGTTGGTAAAATATTGTCAAAGGTTCTGTAATACGGCTGCTGTTTCAGGCCATGGGAATTTTCACTGATTGTCACCAGCTTCTACAGTAGAAGCATCAGTGTTACTGGAAATACTTTTATTCTATTTGTAAGTTGCACAGAGCTACATTTTAATTAAGTTTGCTGGATATTGCAGTCACTGTGAATGTTTACACTCAATTATTCGTTATAATACATTGTTCTGTCTCACTTTCACACTATAGGGTAGCTTATGTCTCACTATTCAGCCAAGGCTAAGCTATATTTTGTAGATTGAGCACCCAATACAAAATTCTTGCTATGATATGTCTGGGCAAACACTAAGCAAACTTGGACCCTACCAGTCCTCTTTCTTCAGCCTATCCTTCCATATGATTAGGACACTAATACACACAATCTAGTCAAACTCCCAAGGCTTGCACTCACTGGGATATGACTCAAGACACACATGCAAATTTTTATCTATTTAAAGTTGTGAGCACTGATCATCCTTACCATTCTAAAGGTAAGGTTTTCTAACTAAAAAACAACCCTCCCCATGAGTCACAGAATCAGGCACCTTTTAAAACAAAGGAAAAGCAAAATAGAAAAAGGAAAGCAGGAAAAACTGTTAGAAAAGAGAGCACTAGAACAATTTGAAATTTTGTGTGTGTAAATTCTTATTTTTTTCCATAAAAGCATTGTGACAAGAATTTGAATCTCAGGGTCTTGAGGTAGACACGCCTATGTTTTTTCCTCACAATAAGCTACATCCACGCAGGCTGATGCTTGTTTCCAAGCTTCATACAATGCCTTTGAATGGCAGAAAACTCTGCTCAGTGCCTTGTTGTCCCTAGGAAGTACTTTCTGTCCCCTCCAAGGGCATCCTGCTCTTCACTGCAGCTCCGACTCTGTCCAAGCTGCAGGTTCCTTATTGAGTGCTTCAACAGCATCATCAACTATAATATCTAAACCATAGCAATTTCTCATCACAAATGCTCAAGGAGAGAGCAACTTCCCTCTTTCTATCAGAGACCTGGCTGCTCCCAGACAAAAGGTCTCCAAGACTCCCAACTTTGCTGCTCTCAGTTGAATGGAGATCTCATGCTGCAGAGGGTTGCGATGCCACGGTGCCTCCAGTCCCTGGTCTTATTAGGGGGTTCCCAAAGCCAACAAGAGAAGTAAAAAGAAAAAAGCACTTCACAGGTTGTTACCTATAGAACTAACCAATTAAAATGGCTTTGGTTTGAAAGGCTGTTAGCTTTAAAGTTCTTTCCTTTTCTCTTTCAAGAAGCTTTTCTTTGCTTTGAAGAAACTGCTTGCGCATCCCCAGGATAAATGAAACTAAATCACTTCAGAGAAATCATTTGGCTATCAGTGAACTCTGCTCCATGAGATCTTGGAGGTAAAAAAAAAAAAGGGGGAGGAGGGGGAAGAAAAAAAAGGAAAAAAAGAAACACAGCTCTCTTCTGGAGGAGGGAAAAGGCATTTTTGAGCATGTATAAACTAAAATCAATATACTCTTCAAAGGAAAAAAAAAAAAATCAGTTTACTAAGTCTGACATGCAGCCTGTGAGTGAGTGAGATGATAGGATCAATAGTCTGCCTTCACTCGGCAATGATGAAAACTTGCACTGAGTGTTCAACTTTATGCACCTAGATATGACAAGGATGATTGTGTATTTAAAAAAGCCAGATAGCAAATATCAGGGTAAAACAAGACTGATTCTACACTGCTCTGAACCAAAGGAAAAGGTTGGTGAGTAAATACACAACTGTGAAGTGAGTTTCCACAACATTCCTTGTATTGCAGATTTGAGTTTCAGAGCTGTTGGCATTCCCACAAGAATTCACTTCAAGTAGCCCACGGACATTTTCACCTTGTCCAGGCCTTTTCTCAACAAACCCAGAGCTTATTTGGTGTCTTTGGGCATTTCCTGCATGACATCATCAGCCAACCTGTCAGTCTGTGCATCCACATCTATTCATTATCATTTGAACCTCCCCATGATTTTTCTCCTGAGGCCTCAGAACTATCTTTTCATTCTGCTTGGCAACAAAATTGTGCAGATAGGGTGGATCCCAGCCCTATCCCAATTGAAGCTTTGACACTAGACCAATTTCTCATGAAGTTCTGGTATTCCCCCAAAACCAGCCATTTTCTTCCCATTACTAAAGCATCATGGAAGTTCAGACACTTTGAGGGCTGCTTCCTGTGCTTCCCGTGTTTGTGTAATTAGATGGATTGTTCCAACATAGGCTTTTGCACAGTCCATTCAGACTAAATCTTCATGGAATTTCTCCTATCATTGCCATGAAGATAGCAATAACCTACTCATAATATTTAGCTTCGTTGGAGCACTTCAAGGATATTAAAGAGCTTTCAGGAATTCATTTTCTCATTTGTATTCCAGGTGTGCAGAGATACTGAAATGTTGAGTTGTTGGTTAGAAGATTCAGTAAGTAATAAATATCCAAGACTTTCAAAACACTTCTGTAAGATGAAAGCATAACAACTCATGATGCTTTCCAAATCACTCTGGCTTTAAAACAAGACTGGTTTAGACACAACTACAGTAAACAATCCACGTAAAGTAACTCACAAAAGATCCTGGAAGAGACTCACCAGAGGAGCCCGGCCAATGCTATGCAGATAATAGAGAAGACCTTTGGTGTGGTAAATAGTTGGATGGAGCTGGGAACTGGGTGTCAACCACTGTCTGTTCAGATCATCCCCACTCAATGAACAACGGTGGCTGAAATAAGAAAGCAGCACATCACCAACTAGCAAAACAACAGATGATTCCAAAAAGTTTCCGATTCTGGCAAGCCCTGTCACAAAAACAGGGAATGTCAATTACAGCACAGATATACAGGTTTTGAACATTGGGCTGGAATGAAACAACAGGCTGTATTATATTTCAAAGGTGTTTATATAGTATATGCATATAATATCCTTTCCTTCCAAGGTTCACATAGTTGCAATCCTGAAAATAAAAGCAGTTTTTCCTTTACCTAACTATGTACAAATCAAATGACTGCTTACAAACAAAAAAATCTTCTGAAATGTTCTAAATGCTGTGCTATCTATGAAATTCACCCAGTTTACAAAGAGCACAGGCTTCTCAAAACCTCCACAGCAAACAAGTCCATCCAACTCCTACTCATTCTAATTGAAGACAGGCACTTGAATCTCTTCGACCAGTCTGAAATATGAATGCACTTAAATGAGATGAGCTGGATATCTCATTTAAGCTTCTCCACTCACAAGAAATGCCGCTATCGAAAGCGCATCAGGAAGATCTTGATGCATGCTACATCATTATGTAGAACAATTACCTAGCTTCACTGCAAAGGCTGAATAAAAAGCCAAATAAGGATCTCAGATTAGCACTGAAAAAAACATTTCCCTTAGTTGGTTTGAACATATTCTGTTACTGACTTAGTGATCACTGGGAGATTGTGCAGGATATTTGACTGTATGGATCAGTACATCACTGCACGGTTTTGAAAAATCCAGTTACTCTCCCTTGTTAGTGATTGTGTGTAGATCAGAGCCCACTCACACTCCTCAAATGATTTGCTGTAATTTGGTTCATGATTTAAAAATCACAGTGTGCTGATAAAAATCAGGAATCAACCCTCCAGTATATGAGATACTGTGGTAGGTCCTCATCACCTCCATACTATCCAGTTAAGCACTAGAATGATTCTGGTGGCATTTTAAACTTGGGCTGGCTTGTGCTTAAAAAAGAAAAAGAAGTTCTCAGGTGTGACAGGAATTTCTAGCTACAGTGTTGCATCCAGTTTTGCTCTTCCAGCCTCCTAGAACAAAATAAAATACATATGTATTCATGGGGATGTGGCCTGTTTTATTGGCAGAGCCTTGCACTGCAGCTTGTAACCTCTCTGGCATTATCAGTGCCTTGCAAATGATGCTTGAAGAAAAAGGATCATAAAACAGAAATGCTTTAAAAAAAAAGTATAAACAATGGAGAACTGGTTAAGAATGGAAGACAAAGAAATAATAAGTATCACTAAGAATATTTCATAAATTTTTAATGTAGAAAAACGAAGTCTCTAATGCCATCTTGGGGTTTCTAACAACATCACAGGATCCATTCCAAGTTTCCTCTAGTTTCACTGTTATCTGAATTCCCTTCTTTCCTCATAATCCATAGTTCCCATGTTAGTCATTCAGTGAATCAGAAAACATTAGCAATAGCTAACACATGGGAAGTCAGCAAATGTTGCTGTGATGCTTCTGCCAAAAATTCTACATGAAAACATGACAACTTCGGTTATGTTTCTTAAAGGATCTTCAGATAAAATTACCTTTAGGCTCACCTCTCCTGATCTTCAGGACAACAGCTGCTCAACTGAGATTAGCAGCTGCATTTCTGCCAAGAACTTGTGTTGATATTTATTGTCCAACATAGAAAACTAAACATGCATGGGAGCAGAAATATGACAACTGAAAACTACTCCTAAAAGGATTCAGTAAACACAGAGATTAATATCAAACCAACCCCAAGTTCAATTTTTATTTCACTATTTCTTAGACTAATCTAAAAGCCTCTGTAAAAAATTTTCTTATACCTTCAGAATGTATAAAGAAATCCCATGATCTGTTCGAAAAGCATGTATGAAAAACTCCTCATCAAGTCTATTAACACACATGAAAGCCAAGTAGACAGTGTGACAAGGCACTGGTGTTTCCTGCTGTGGAATCTGGTTCTGTTGTGGCCCATGGACTGCAGTGCATTACTTGTATACGAGCATTTCACACAGCATGCCAACATCTCTGCAGTTCACAGCACCCTCACTCTTCCGACAGGTTTCACTCTGCTCTTAAGACAATTTACCAACTCTGTTGCTCTGATGCAGATTGTGATTTTCCTTAGAGGTGACCCTATGACAAGCCAATCCCGTCCCCTGCAGTTCACAGATGAGGCTGGTTGCTTAGTATTGGTTTTGTAACTGTAATCCAACTCTAAAACAATAATTTGAAAGCTCTTATTTACTGCAGGGCAGGAAGGTAACGTCTCTGCGTGTTGACAAGAGCTGGAAAACAAAGTTCAGCTCTGTCCCTTCAATGGTTAACATCTCTGCTCATTTAAATGACCTTTAAATATTAGCACTCAGACTGGCCGCTCATATCCACAGCTCCTAAGGAGATACAGAAGTTTAATTAAATTATGAGAAGCTGATTTTTTCCATCCTGCTCCCTCCTCCCATCAAACTGTTCAAGTCTGTTTACTTTTGTAGATACCAGTTCCCTGCCAGGCCTGTTCCCCCTTATCCCTTCCTTTCTTCTCTTTCTTTCCTAATAGCGATGACATTCGCAGATAATGGTTTTGTCCGTTATGCTCTGCAACCAAGGGTGAAGGTAAAATATTAAGCTGATTTCAAGTGCTGATAGCAAATAAAGGGACCAGGAAGCTGAGACTGGCTTTGAATGTTTGGCAGGATTTAATGAAATTCACTGCTCAAATCAAAGGCTTTTCTTACAACACAGTTCCAAGCCATTATATTTGCTTTAAATGTTTTATGTCTCTTTTCTCCTTTGCAGCATTAGCAAGACTACCTGCCACCTTGCATGGGACCAGTAGCAGCTTGAAGGAAATTATGAAAACATTTGCCAAAAATAATTCCAATAAGAAAACCCCACTTCTGTGTCTCTATACAGATTACCTGTAATTCTGCTATTTGTTATATGTCTTCAGCCCAGATATATTCAAAACAATTAAAAGGTATTCCTTTTGTTCACAAGCCCGATGCTTTTGTTATAGCCCTGCCTCCTCTTCTACCTTTACACAGACAGGACATTCTCTGATGTGTATCAGCCTATGGGATAGCTGTCAGCTGTTTCTGGGGCAGTGCATGGCTACCAAGTAGAGCACAGTAAAATGAGACAAAAAAGAAAAACCAAACACACATTTGACCTTCTCCAAGCAGATCCTGCTAGTATTTCCAAAGTTATTTGTAGAATGACTCAAGAGAAGCTATGGAGCTGGTGAAAGAAGAGATCCTTTGACCTTTACCAACTAAACCTTTCTAAATGGACATGGACAGAAAACACTGACTGTCGCAGTGATACAGGGCAAGGTGTTCAGCACTTACTATTGCCCAAGTAAAGAAATACTTGGGCAGTCTGTGCTTCAGATATACTCCAATAGTGTCATGCAGTACAGCAAGATGAATAAAAACAAAGCATTCAAGCCATCCAGTCCCTGGAGAAAAGATAACTCATGTGACTGGTTCCAAGCAGAGTAAATTCATCCTTAGGTAAATTTGTTGTTGAGTGCTAGCTTCAAATACCATCAATATATGCCACCAAGAATGCTCCTATTTCTATGCAATCTTCAGCTCTAAAGACATATAAATGCAGGTAGTCATGTAGGAGAACTATTCTGTGAAAACTGGATCCCTGGCATCTGAAGTTAATATGCCACAGACAGAAAGATCAGGTGAGATTCCCCTTCTGAACCCATAAGAGATAACTGAACTTCTAACTGAAGCATTAGAATCTTGATGTGAAGACAGTGACATGTCACAGGGAGTTAATGAGAAAGAGGTTAAGTAGATAAAGAACAGACTTGTTCAGTTTAAGACAGAATTGTATTTTAAATCTGTTTGTACTTTTAAGATCTAGCTTTTAATCTTGTACCTCAAAGCCTGACATGAAGTTTTACTAAAGATGTGTTTTCTCTGTTGTCTTACTCTAAAGCCTGTTTGGCTTTGAGGTCAAATTAACCTCAGATAATGCATTAAACTGCACTAAATTCTGCATGAGCCATGTATATGGACAGAGAGATGGTACCTGACCCTAATCAAAGGCTTGATGAGGTCAATGGAACCTTTTAGTTGACTGCAATAAGCCTGGATCAGTGCTCTGCACAGGTACAAAAATGGGAGAGGTGGGGGAAGAGAGAGAGAAAAACATCAATACACAGGAAAAATAAAACAAAAGGGAACAGAAGGTGCAGAGTAAAGAGATTGGGGGATAAATATAATGCACAAGATATTAGACAAGGAAGAAAACAAGAAATGGAGACAGAGAAAAGATACTTTTTAAAGAAAATATGTTTCTGTACTTGGAAGATAAAATGATTCAAAGTCTCCTGTCCATTACAGATAAATGGAAAGATAGGGCCCATCATATTGAATGAATGATGTCAGGACTGATAAGAACAGCACCTGGGGCACAGGGGACTATAAAATCTAAAGAGATGCATTGTGTTTTATATGTAGAGAGCAGCATCACTATTCACTGTGCATCCTAAAAGCAGACAGCAGTACTAGCGTAGGATAAGAATATCTATATAAAAGCAAGTAGGTACATGTAAACATCAGGACACCACTGAGCATCACGAGGCAGCCTCAACCAGATACAGTATGATGGACTTTATAAATAACTACTGCCTAGGATGGAAGCAGCAATATTTACATTAAGATGTTTTGGTCTTGCCATTCAGAAAGCTCAAAGCAACCTGGAGGGGAAAAAAAAAAAGGGGATCAGGGAAGGGGAGGAAATCCTTAATTTCTCTTGATTTTAAATCTTTTCAGAGAGGAAGACTTGGTGATGTGAGAAAGCAGCAGCACCAGCAAAACCCTCCTTTATAATTTAAAAGAAGGGGTCAGAGATAAAACCATTATTTTCTGTCTTTGTTCAAGCCCATGTGCTGACACTATAATGACTATCACGTCCATTCCACAGAGATGCTCATCCAACGTCACCCAGGCACTGCATCAT